ATGACCACCACGTTGGAGGGGAAGGCGTCAAGCGATGCCGTGTCGGAATCGACAAGCATCGGGTCGGTGGAGCCGATCGACTCCAGGTTGGAGGTGCGCTCCTTGGCGATGTCAAGCTTGCCAAGGAAGTCGACGAGGCAGCTCTCGGAGCTGGTGGCACCCGCGCCTGGCGCGGGCTCATCGGAGAGGCGGACCTCGCTGAGAACATCGACGAGGCAACTCACTGCGCAGGCGTTGTCGATGTCATGCAGCACGTCGGGGCAAGCGCCATCGGGCATGCCGGGCTGGCTACGCTCGCTAGGAAGAGGGTTCCCGTCCAGAGCAGGTCTCGGGACGACGGTGCACCTGGCCCCACGGTGGGTGCCAAATGTCGGGTGGTAGGTGCGACATATGCCAACGGGTAGCTAATCATTGTGGGAGCCAGTAAGACATCGTCGGTGCCTGGAAATGGGATAAGGCGAAGAGATGCACGCCGGCAAATCTTACCCAGGTTCAGGGCTCTCCTAGGAGATAACACCCCTAGTCTTGCTCTGCGGGGTCTCCGCATGATCACTAGATCAACAAGTAGTTACAAGATGCTCCTTGAGCTGTTTAGCTAGAGGAAGAAGAAGAGCAAGGCTAGCTCTCCTCTTCTCTCTATGTGGTGTGTAAAACTCTAAGAGATCAACCCTTTGCATGGGTGTCCTGGGGGTTTATATAGGCCTACTTCCCAAGGGTACAATGGTAATCCAGCTGGATGCGGGTCCAGGCCGTCAGTGTCTATGGCCGTCGGCTTCTCCGCTGGCCGCTGAGGCCTGCCGACTGGTGGGTCCCGCCGACTGCCGGCCTCTTGGCCGACAGGCTGGGCCCACCGCCCGGGGGTCTTGTCGGCTATTGGTTACTATAGCCTTACTCTTGGTGACGATGGCTTTGTCGGGGTAAGCATGGCTACAGTGCCGCCACCTGGCGGGTATTCACTGTAGCCTTACCCCATCTTATCTGCTTAATGGTGCACAAACTTCCAGGGAGGGGTCAGGCCGACTGCTGGGTGCCGGCCTCCCCCCAGGTTGACTGCTCAAGTCCAGCCGCCTTCTGGTATCTCTCTGGCAGGAGGGTCCCACCGCCTACGGGCTGTACTGACAGCCTGTCGTGGGCGACGTCATGGTCAACGTGGCAACAGGGCCGCGCAGAACGGGGAGTGGCTGCCCCGTACGGCGCACTGTGGCCACGCTCGCTCCGGGATTCGGGGGTGGCAGGCTACACTGTAGCCACGCCCCGTCTTATCGCTGTTATGTGGGTGCAAACTTTGAGGGTATGGGTTAGGCCGCCTGCTAGGAGTCGGCCACTCTGGTGACCAGCTGCTAGGAGCCGTCCCTCTTCAAGAGAGCTCTTAGAGCCTTGCCGCCTTCCAGCAGCCGGCCGATGGGACAGCCGGCCAAGAGAAGGCGGCCCTGCGTCTTGGATGTTTGAGGGCTCAGTCGGCCCGATATTTTTTAAAGAGCCAGGGAGAGCCGGTTAGGCTACCCGTGGTCATTCACTCCGACAGCGCGCCCCCACCTTGGCCGCCTCCTCCTCTCTTCCACCATGGCCCATTAAGGCTCATTAACTCCCTAGGGGGTTCCGGTAACCTCCCGGTACTCCGAAAAAATGCCCGAGCCACTCGAAACCTTTCCGGTGTCCAAACATAGCCTTCCAATATATCAATCTTTATGTCTCAACCATTTCAAGACTCCTCGTCATGTCCGTGTCACATTTGGGACTCCGAACAACCTTTGGTATATCAAAACACATAAACTCATAATACCGATCGTCATCGAACGTTAAGCGTGCGGACCCTACGGGTTCGAGAACTATGTAGACATGACCGAGACTCACTTTTGGTCAATAACCAATAGCGGAACCTAGATGCTCATATTGGTTCCTACATATTCTATGAAGATCTTTATCGGTCAAACCGCATAACAACATACGTTGTTCCCTTTGTCAATGGTATGTTACTTGCCCGAGATTCGATCATCGGTATCTCAATACCTAGTTCAATCTCGTTACTAGCAATTCTCTTTACTCGTTCCGTAATGCATCATCCCGCAACTAACTCATTAATCACATTGCTTGCAAGGCTTATAGTGATGTGCATCACCGAGAGGGCCCAGAGATACCTCTCCGAAACACGGAGTGACAAATCCTAATCTCGATCTATGCCAACCCAACAAACACCATCGGAGACACCTGTAGAGCATCTTTATAATCACCCAGTTACGTTGTGACGTTTGATAGCACACTAAGTGTTCCTCCGGTATTCGGGAGTTGCATAATCTCATAGTCATAGGAACATGTATAAGTTATGAAGAAAGCAATAGCAACAAACTAAACGATCATAGTGCTAAGCTAACGGCTGGATCAAGTCAATCACATCATTCTCTAATGATGTGATCCCGTTCATCAAATGACAACTCATGTCAATGGCTAGGAAACTTTAACCATCTTTGATCAACGAGCTAGTCAAGTAGAGGCATACTAGTGACACTATGTTTGTCTATGTATTCACACATGTACTTAGTTTCCGGTTAATACAATTCTAGCATGAATAGTAAACATTTATCATGATATAAGGAAATATAAATAACAACTTTATTACTGCCTCTAGGGCATATTTCCTTCAATTGCACCATGGCATCTATCTTGTCCGGCAAGCTTGATGCCTCTGCTTCCCTATTGATCTTTTCCATGGCTTCTTGTTTCCATCGGGCTTGTTCTTGTTTCTTGGTCCATCATCGTCATCCATCTTGGTGAGTGCACCTCTCTTTGGTGGGGCTTCTTTGTCCCTCAACTTCCATTTCTCGCTATCTTTAAGCAATTTCCAACAATGCTATAGTGCAAATGGCTTTCCCTTGGAAGCTTTCATGCCCTTGTACCTTTCTTGCACAGTTTTGTCGTGCAAAATGAAAACAATGTCAAACTATGTCACATGCAACAATGTCTACTACTTGGGACGTGAAAACAAACTCACCCAACCGGACTCAACGGTACCACTTGGAGGTGCATTGCAGACTTGTTCCAAGCAACCACTCCAACAGCTACAAGTCGGCTTGATCATATCCCAACGACCTTGGAGTGTTCTATAGGTGTGTGGCCTCTTCGAGGAAATGTTTGACATCACTCGGAAGAACATGCCCTCTATCCTTTGCCAATATCGCTTGCAGGTTTGGTCATTGCCGGTCACGGCATCAAGAGACACAAGCTCCCAAGTCTTGATCAAGACTTGATCTTCCCATTGTG